ATTGAATTCAAATTATGGATTAACAAATACTAAACCAGGATGTTAAAAGTGATGTATTGCTTAATCTCCACTGAAGTTTTGTTTATCTCCTTCATTTGATACATTTTTCAACTTGTTTGCGTATTATCTTACATATACATGTAATTCCCTCTTAAGGCTCGGTTTGGTTGCAATGTAAATAAATTTGCACTGATGCAAAATTATATCAGTGCAAATGATTTTAGTATAAATTATGACCTATTTTTGTATTAAATTTTAACTTATTTTATTTGATTGAAGTACAAATGAAGTAAATTAAGGCATGAAGAAGAATAAAATAAAACCCAAAACAAAATTAAATGAGAATTTCCTTTTTTTTCATTTGCACTCCCATGCATTTATACTAGTGCAAATAAAATCGTGCTGCAACCAAACACAGCCATTCATTTTGCACCCGGTTCAGTTTTGTTTGTAATTATGAATTGCATTCCTACTTGATATAAAATTTGTATTTTTTTGTCTCATTTGCACTAGCTGGCGATGCAAATTATGCATCTTAAAAACTAATGCATGCCAAATTTACACCACTTACCTCTTTTTTTCGTCACATTATCTTGTTTTTTATCTCACTCCCAAACAAATGACACTCTTATGTCTCCATTTTTTTTTATATAAAGTGGAAATTATTTCATTTTACTTTTCATTTTATTTTTTGTAAAGAAATAAGACAAAGTCAAATCTAAAACAAAAATAAACTGGAATTTTATACTCAGCCTATTTTGCACTTCTATGCATTTAAACCAGTGCAAACGAAATTGACACTGCAAAGATCGAAATTATATAAAATATTAACACATCCTTGGCATAAAAGACAAAGGTAAGTGGGTATTTGATTCACTTGAAATGTGTGAAGAACATCAAATACCACTTGCATGGAAGTAGAGTACATATATACAATGTAGAGAAGACAAATATAATTAGAACTTTTAGCTGCAGTAGTTGCTGTTCTAAAAGAAAAAGGCTATACTTCAGCAATAGAGCTGTAAGAACAAAGTAGAGAGATGAGACCAACCAAACCAAATATATTCAATTAAGAACCAATGACAATTAGTACATATGCAATTATAATAAACAATAAAATAATGAATAAAAAGAGTTTACAAAACTCAAGGCACTTGTACATTCCATAATCTATTATATAAAATATAATACATTTTAAATAAATATAATAAGACAAAGCTAAAGAAACAAATACCCAACAAACACAGAATAAAACAATCCTTATTGAGTGGAAATCAGTATTCCATTATAGCTATTATTATAATTTGCACCACTCTTATAGTGTTTCCAACACTTATTGTGGTCTGGTGTGGTGTGGTTGATGAGGTAGGGGACCAACACTTAAAAAGAGGACTTTTTCTTAGGACGAAATGTGAAACATTAGATATTATTTCCACAAGAAGCCCAAGATTGACATGTTCGTCGCTGTTCGAGCGACGCATGTTTCGAACTGTTGGAAGCCGATTGTCGTGAGGGCCAGAGGATGGTTGGAAGTTATGCACCCAAGTGATTGTGATGGTTCATGGATGTTGGAAGCTACCCAAGAGGATGAAAGAGAAGTAAGAGGAGAGGAAAAAATGGTCTTTATTTTTAAAGACAAGAAAAAAAAGAAAGAAAGAAAGAAGAAGTAATCTTTTATTGAGAACTGGACTGTGTCTCTGTCATTTTATTTGGTTTCACTTTCAAGTTTTAAAAGAATACTTGGTCTTCTTCTTTTTATTGTTGTCCCTGGCTCTACCTGACTAGCTGGGGACCTGCTGCTGCTGCTGGGGCTGGCTTAGCTGAAATCGCGGCGCCCCGTTTCTTCTTGGTTCTAATTAAGTCTTAACCCTTCTCTATTATATTATATGTTTAATTATTAGGATCATGGACTGTCTTGTTTTTGGGAATGCAGAACCGCAGTGCCTCTAGGGACTTGCCACGTGTAGAATATTTAGAAAATCTGGACTGACTATTGGATAAATCCCACTATGGCCAAATGGCTCTTAACCATTTGATTTATGATTTAAAAAAAAATCTGAGGTTTTAATGTTTTATTTGAATATTGAACAAAAAAAAACCCACTATATAATTTAGAATTTTATTCTAAGAGCCAAATTGAAACCCATCTAATGGCAAGCTCAACTCAAGTAAAAACATGGGACAGGTGGCAAGTTATTGATTTCTTGACCCAAGGTTTTGCCAAGGGCCATAAGCAGTGACCATTTTTATATGCTATAACTATGGAATTTGTATTAGAAGGTACAGCTAGAAAATGATGGAGGGGACCGTGGTCCTAGACCCTTCTTCCATTGAAATGATGCCATCATATTCATCGGTTAGGGTTAATAATAATAATAATAATAATATCTATGAGAAGTGGGTGGTGCCAATTTCATAGTTAATTATCATCAAGGGACATGATCTCATAAGTTAGATTTAAAGCCAAAGTCATTATTGGCAACTTAGAAATCTCTTGGACCTAATTAAGTTTAGTATGAATTATTAAATTGCATAACAGTGCATCAGCTGTTTGGGAAAGTAGTCTAATGGGCTATTTGATAACAATTGAAGTGGTTTAACATAATAACTTACTTTATCTTCTAGGTCTAGGGTTCATTTATGTGCCAATCCATTGCTGATTTTTCAAAAATCACTGCCACCCCGGAGTTACATAATAAATCTACTGTTTGTTTGGCCGATTTTAGTGATTTTTGAGAAATCGGCCCGATGAGAGATCACCAATTTTGATGATTCGATTTGATTTTTTAAAGGACGTCATGGCATCCGATGTGTACACAAGAGACATTTATCTTGAAAAAAAAACACTCTTGGGAATCACTATCAAAGAAATTCATTGCCGATTTTAAAAAAATCGGCTTACATGACAAGAATGATACCAAACAACTAAAAATAGTGACTTTTGAAAAATTATCGATTTCAAAAACCGACAATTTCTGAATAATCGGTTTTGTTTGTTTTTGGTGAATATGATGTAGCTTTGGCCCTCACGGGGAAGCAATGCAATGTACTAGACCTAGCAGGATTAGTGGTAGCGAGATTGGCTTCAGTCAGTGCAAGGCCCGTTCGAATATTGTTCAAACAATCTTTACAGCCTTGCATCAATAACATTTTCGTATTTTTATGCTTTATTTCATGAAAAGATTTTCCCAATACAAGACTATAATGACTATTCGAATGGGCTGTGCACTGACTGAATCCAGTTACAGTGGTATCAGGATGCATGCACTGGCCTATTTTCATTCATGATGCAGAGAGCTTATGGTTTTTTAAATTTGGGAGACCCTAATTATTAGGAATTAGGGACTTCTGTCAAAATCAAATATAGTAGTAGATAGGACATAATTGAGGACAAATGTTATTAACTGAAAAATTAATAAAACTGTATGAACTATTTTCTTTTCTTTTTTTTTTTTTAATTTCAATTCAATACTTTAAACCTTGCATGCTGAATTATCTATTGGGTCATTGTCACTAATAGGGGTTGATTGGTCTTACCCATTCTAAAACCTATATAGGTTGACTGAATCAATCTATGATGTCAAAAATTATTAAAAAATCTCAAAATTAATAATTGGATGCTAGTAAGGTGTTTAAATAATATCGCATGTTCAAAAAAAATGAAGTAAATTATTATAAGATTTAATTTTTTAATCATTAATTTACTTGTTTAGAAACCTATCAATCCAGTTTAGTTTTTTTAAGCTAATGGCCCAGTAGTTGAGATGGTCACTCTGCATCGCTCCTAACATCCAGCGACAAGATCAAACCCATGTAACTACAGGCTCTTTGTGTCAAAAACACTATAACATATAGAGTTGTATTATATGATAAACATCAATTTTTCAACCTTGGCATATGCTAAATATTAGAAATCAAGGGCTTGTCATTTTTAATGTAATGGGGGATTGATGGTTATTAAGTCAAAGTTGATAAACTGTGATTAATTAGCATGGAGGATATTGATGAATTTGTATGGAATCCACATGCGCCCCACATATACACTCAACCGTGCATTGAGAATATCTTCTATATTTTAAATTCTGGTTATAGCTGGTTTAATGGGTTTTTTTGGATCTGAAAAACAGGGACTAAAGACCCATAAAACAGACCAATACCAAAATTAAAAAAAAAAGAAAAAAAAACCCATAAAAGTGGCATGATAATAGATCAAACAGTCAGACCATATGGGTCCGGGCCAGTCTTAAAATATTGATTTCTTCCAAATCATGTACAAATTAATATGTTTAATCTCATAAAACCAACAGATCTTTCATAAAGGTTTTTTCTTTTCCAGTCTTGGTTTGAGACAGAAAGGAACCAAAGCCCGTGAAGAATACAAAGAAGCATCCACGGTGAAACAAAAAAAAAAGTTACCAACCAAGAGAAAGGAACAAATGAAAACAGCAGGAGTATGTGAGGGCACGTGAAGTATCAGTTCTACATGAATCTGAACTCCTGAATTTCTACCAACAAAATAGAAAGAAAAAAAGAAACAAAGAAGACTCCACCCAATGTGAATGCTTTTCTTCTGGTTTTATTCCAAGATCCAAGAAAACAAAAACCTCATCTCCATGCGTTGAAAAGAAGCATGCTCTCTCTTATACTCTTTTTTAATCTTCTGTTCATAAAGCGCTCTGTCTCTTTCTCTCTCTCAATATATGTGTAAGTGACTTAAGTGTATATTTATTCATCTTTCGTACAATAATTTGGCCATTTGGGACATAATATATTATACTATGTGCATACAGTGCATTGTTCTTATTCTTCTCTTGTTTTAATCTTTTTTTATTCTTTTTATTTGTTTCACTTCTTTCTGGGAAGTAACAATAAATATGGGAATTCGGAATCAACACCCATCGCCATCTACTAACAACTAGAGTATTAGGCTATGTACCATTTCATAAATAAAGAATGCCTTTTGAGAGGACCAGAGAGAGAGAGAGATTTGAATTTTGGGTTTATAAATCCATCAGACATGCATGCAATGTATAGACATGAGATGGGTATGACAGGGAAATAATGGGCTGAGATGCCATGCATGAAGATGGAATTGGAACTTGGAAAGGAGTCATGTGGAACTTGCAGGAATGATGATGGGTGAATCTGAGATAGAAATGGACCCATGCACCACTGAACTTATCTGAACACTTGGTCTACTCTTTAAAGCTTAAAGTGGAGAGAGGGAGAGAGGGTATCTTTGGTAGGACAACAATGGGAGTAGCCTAGTACTTTTTTCTTGTTTTCTCTCTCCCGCTATCTTTCCATCTCAATTTGTTGCAGTAGTTGCTGTTTGTTGTGGTTGAAGTGCCAAGATTCAACAAACAGTGAGTGTGGTGAATGTGTCTGCTTCTTTTTCTTAAATTATCCAACAACACCTTTTTCTCTGACTTCCCTGACGTCCCACCATCGTCTCTCCCAACCTTTTCTTTCCCATAATTAAACATCACTACCCACCCATCGAATTCTCCCTCTGCATATCTTCTCATCGCCATTCTTTCCCTTTTTTATTTACTCTTCCCTGTGCAGCAAAATCAGAGATACCCAGAAGCTGGTTTTGTCTTCTAATTAGCAACAGTCACACCCATATGGCACCACTGAAGATGTCTGCGACCTCAAAATAGTATGTACGAGAATCCCATTGTGTATCTTAGTTCTAGACTTTTTTTTTCCTGATGTTGGAATTTGATGTTTTAGACTGGATTTCTGTTTATTTAAATTTTCCGGCGACGGTGAATGAAATGGCTGTTATATCAGTCACTGTCTGTTGATGTTTCTGGACTTGGGTTTACCTGGTTCGGTTCCCGTGGTTCCTGTGTTTCTGCAAGTTTTATTTTGTGGGTAGGATATAGATTTTGTTGCTAATTTCTGTGGTTTCTGTAATCCTTTTGTATATTTTCCTATCTATTAATGTTTCTGTGTTCTCTGTGTCCTTGACGTTTCTGGATATCTAGTTGATTACGGTAATCTGTTTCTACCATTTCTTCTTTCTAGAAGATTGAAGCTTTTCTGTTAATTGATGAAAATGAGGCCTGAATTGTTGAGAAGGACATGCCAAATGAGAGAAATATGATGTTTGGTTGCAAGTTTTATCAGTAGTTGAATCTGGTTTATTACAGAATTGTTGATAGATCTCCATTTTCTTGGACTGTCTTCTATTTGCATATCATGCTTCTGTGGTTATTTTCAAATTTTGATGGTCTGAACACAGAACATCGAAGCTCATTTTTCATTGATGCAAACTTTTATATATGGTAATCTGAAACCACTTCCTAGTACTCCTCAGCTGGGTTCCTTTGTGGATGCCTTTTAAGAGCACCCTAGAAGTATGGTGAACAAGAGGCTGATGTGAAGTTGCAGGCTTGCACACTTTGTGTTGGATCGGTGTTGAAAATAATCAGTTTGGAAGGATTTGGTTGGTTTTAGAGTTCTTTTGTACTTTTTATTTTTACGGAAAAAGAAATATACAATCAGATAAAGTTTCTCCAAACAGAATTACAGAAACTTACTAATCTAGAAGACTCACTTTCTGGTTCAAACATGGTTGGAAATTAAATATCTTGGTTATTATCTTGGTGATTTTCCTGAGACAGAAATATTTATCGAGATGCATATACTTATATAAGTTTTACTTGGGGAGATTAGGGATGGCTGAACCACAGCATGATGGTTGGAATATGAAAAATAGTCGTCTGTTCTCAATTTTGTAAATCAAATTTTAAAATCTCAATTGAAGGAAGTTTGAAAGAGAATCTTTTTTTTTTTCAATTTATATACATGCCATATCTTTGTTTTTCAATATTCTTGTTCTGAGCTTCAAATAAATGGAGGAATTCCAATTGAAACATTCTTCATTGGGTTTTATCCTTTTCTATCATTTTTGTTGCTCATAGATAATTTCTCTGTTAAGTCAATTCGGAGTCCCTTGACTATATCTTCTAATTCTTGCTCACTGGGGTGATGCTAGTTATCTTCCCTTTGTTACTTGTTTGGTGAATGTCTCTATTGTCCATGAGCAGTTTTATGAGAAAAAAACACCATGGTGACGTTTACTAATGTTTTCTCATGAATGAAATCTAAAAGGTTTCCCAATTCTTCTTATAGTGGATAAGTAAGAAATCCTCCAACGTACTTAGCATGGTGAAATATTAACTATTGGCTAGAGAATTTTCATCAGTTCTTTCCATAGCAAAGGCATGTGTTGCAGAAATTGATGTCTTAAGATCTCAATATAACTTCATTAATTGCAAGCACCAGACATTTGTTGGAAATCATATGCATAAGCAACCCTTTTCTGAAGAATATCTTAATTAAAATCAAGCATAGAAATGAGCCCTGCTTCTGACATAGTGGAGTACATTTATGCTATTTCGTTCTGGATCCTTGCAGAGACAGGATAACTTTCAGTTTATTGCTTCTTGTTTATTGAGGCTTACCATGGAATTTAAAGCTTCTGACTTGGTGGTTTAACCATGGCCATGTCCTATGTCTTAACTTGTTTTTTAATCCTTATTACAATCTCAGAAAAGCAACTTATTCTCTTTGAGCGTTCTCCTGTAACCTGCAGCACTGAATCTTCATGGTAAAGGCAAAGATAATATACACATGATGTGAGGGGAAGATAACATATCCTCAGAATTCCTTCTTCAATTATCATATAATCAACTCCATGCTCGCTATTCTTCCAGTTTTTGTCTACTTTGTGAATTGTGATAAACAGGTCTGTTGTGGCATGCCATGTAGAATCCAGAACAAATTATGGTCTTGACTTTTGTTGCACTAGTCCCAATTTATTCCATGCCTAAAGGGCTGCTACTAAAGCTGATCAATACATCCATTCTTACTTGGATCTTGCTAATATTTTATTTGGTTCATGTATATGCTAACACATATGTTCTTTTAACAATGTAACTAGAAGAATAACAGAAATTGGGAAAGTAGATTTAGATGGTTTGGAGATGTGCATAGAAGAACACCCACTGATATAAGGGGTGAAAACTGAAAGATGAGGATCTTAAAGAGCTAGGGAAAGTCTGAGAAGAGAATGGGTTGAGGTAGCAAGAAAAGATCTAAGGACTCACAAGTTAACAGAAAATATGGAAAAATGGGATTCTTGTAGCAGATTATGATATAGTTGGGATAAGACTTATGTTACTGATATCAACCTTATTCTCCTTGTTTTCTTGATATTCTTCATTCAAACTTATAGCATGCATGCTTTTGGTGTATATATTTTATATTGATATCTTGTATAGGGGCGTTTATGTCTTTTTCCTTTCATTAACTTAATCTAATAAGATATCATTAATGGTGGTCATAGGCCTAAATAGACCAACACCATTCTCCTTTCATTTTATTTCTTTCTTCATATTCCTCCTTTTTCTCTCTCATACTACACACACTCAAGTGCATCAAGAATAAGCTCCAATAAATCAACTTGGTAGCAGAATATCAAGTCTGAAACCTGAGGGAGTTTCTTCACCACCAATCCTGTTGATTTCATTAGGCTGTATGGACGAGCAATGGGACTAGGCACCCAACTTGGAATTGAAAGAAAATTTTCCAGTTGATACCCATTAGTTTATGGAGATTTTTTTCTGTATAAATTAGTATTTTTCTAGGCTTGTTGTGAAAATAGTCAAAATTTACATGCTATTGGGCCAGAACTTTCTCTCAAGACAGAGTGATTGTATGAGGCATGGGGTGTTTGATTCATGATATTTTCTGATCAAAAGAATCTGGTTTGGCTTGATTTGGAGCAGCATTGATTTTTGGGCGTTTTTTTCTCATCCTATTTTACTACCCACCTTGCTTTCCCTTTTGACTGTTTTATCAATTCTAGAGGTGGTTGGCTATCTGCTGCTAGTTGTGATAGAGAACTTTGGCTAAGGGGATGTGTGGGTTTGCCCTCACAAGGTTTTTCTTTTCCAATATTCATCTAGACATGGTAGATAAGTACTCTATCTGAGTTGTTATTGGGGTACAGTGAAAGTGCACTCTTACCTGCTATTGATTGGTTTGAAATTTCTTGTTATTCATAAAGCATGGCCTTTCGCATTAATTCCAAGGTTGATTCTATTTGGATATATCATAAAATAAATTACCTAACTTCCTAGAAAACATAGGAGTTCAAACTATCATAATGAAAATAGATGGAATCAACTATTTACAATGGTCCTAATTAACTAGAATAATTATTGGAGGCAAGGAAAAACTTGGCTACATTAATGGGAAGAATGGTCCTAATTAGCTAGAATAATTATTGGAGGCAAGGAAAAACTTGGCTACATTAATGGGAAGACCAAGGAACTTGATGAGGATATAACCTTGCTCATAGTAAGTAGGTGGGAGAAAATTCGATTAGTTCCTATTACTGAATTAGATGCAACCTAAATTAGCAATGCCTTTTTTATTCATCAGGACAACTGTGGAGTTCTGGAATGAAGCAAAGGAGGCATATCATAGGTGAAAAATTATTTCTTAAAAAAAGGTGAAGAATTATGCTTGTATTTTGCAGCTAAGCTAGGAAATCTCCCATCATCACTAAGTGGAGAGATCCTTGGCTGGTTATTTTGCATACTTGGATGCATTGGGAGTAGTTGGACTATTATGATCAAGAAAGGTGTTATTATTTACAAGAGAAATTTGGAGAGGACTCACATCTCAACCCACATTTTGAAATGGTGAAGGCACAAACTTTGAGTGGAGAAGAGCTCCCCATTCTAAACCAAGAATATGCTTAGGTTCAAAGTGAAGAAATTATAATGAACCCTTGGAGAGATCTGCACTCACTTCAATTCCTTATAAGGACAGCAAAAGAAAAGGGTACAAGGTTAACAAAGAGAAATTACATGCACCCATTGTGGTAAAGGTGGGCATGGCAGGGATAATTGCTGGAAACTATGTGGACGTCTTGCTATGTTTAATAAGGGGAAGAACTCTACAGCCACTAATGTCTCTACTACTAATTCTTTTGCCATACCAATTGGTTCAGTTGAATCATTCTTATCTCTGGGTGTCTTTTGCAAAGCACCTATATCTGGGGGCTCAAAGAGGTTAGCTGCCATTCTTGAGGAGGAGTTGGAGATGTTCTGAAAAGGTATCCAAACAAGAGAGCTCTACTACCTCAGCATTCATTGGGGCATATGTGGATTACCTTTTTATTCTTGGTATGCTCTACCTATAATTCATCACGGATCCTTGATTCTGGTGCTTTAGATTGTATAATGGGTATTTTTTAGTTTTTTCTAGTTATTTTATTTGTTATGGTAGAAAAAAAAATCTAGGGTTGCTGATGGTCTAGCTAAGCAAGTTAATTGGGTTAGAAGATCTGCCAACAGTTTGGCAGATGGTCTAGCTAAGCAAGGGGTACATAGACAGACTATATTTTGAGAAAATTTCTTGTTGTTCTGCTTTATTATTTTTAATGAAATCATTTTCTGTGTTACTTATCCAAAAAAAAAGCTAGGGTTGCTGATGGATTGCTTTCTCCCATTGTGATACTAGTGGCTTGTGGCTCTTGGATTCTTGCTGGCTTGATCCCTTGAAACCTTTTAAAGTTCCATATTTTTGAGTAATAATAAAAGTTCTAATCCATTTGAAATTATTCAATCTTTTTCTCATCAGTCTTTAGTTTTTACTATTTACCATTTGGACATTGTAATGTTGTTACTTATCTTGATGATTGTATCCGATGTACTTGAGTTTATTTAATGAAATCCAGGGACGAAGTATACAGCATATAAATTTTCACAAAATGGTGGATACACAATTTGAGAGGCTTTTAGAGGTTCTTTGTCCTAACCAACAATAGAGAAGACAAATAGAACTAAAAATAGGAATAACAAACAACAATAGTTTAGCATGGTTCAGCTTGGTCTATGGAATATGGGGAGATCAATTCACTGTTGAGATACCTGAATAAGATGCAAAAACTTGCAGCTTAGATCTCTCTCCCTCTCTCTCTCTCAACCCTAATCTAACACAGCTAATACCTAATTAAGCCAAAGATCAAATTATATCAAAATCAAAATTTACAAAATGGTTCTCTTGCTCCTATAAATACATAAAAGTTCCTAGATGTTTATCAACATTACAACTATTTCCCCATAATCTCTATCACCCTCCTAGAAAGAAAGCCTAGGTACAATCAAATACAATAACATATCTCTACATAAAAAAACACAACCTTATGTCTCTACACTTTATTATGAGGGAGAGTTCATATTCATGACTGCATTTGTATTTCTCAGAGGCAGCTAATGTGATACTAAGGTACATGGAAGTTATCAATTGGAGAAGGTATCTTACTTCATATCCAGGGGCATCTTTGTATTAAGGCATATATAGATGCTAATTGGGTGGGATCTATTTTAGATTGTAGTCAACTTCAAGTTATTTAAAATTTTTGGGATGAAATTTGATTACTTGCTTCAGTTAAAAATAATCCATGGTTGCTAAGTCCAATGCGAAGTTAAAGTTCGGATATATGGCACATGGAGTATGTAAGGTATGGTGGCTAAAGATCTTGGAGAACTAAGGCCCCATTTGGTTTGCGGGAATAAGGGTCTGGAATCAGAACCGGAATGGGCTATTCCGATTCCAACTGTTTGGTTGAGAGGAATCGGAATCTCATTCCCATTCCTGCTGGAATGGCATTCCCCCATTTGAGGGAATGGTCATTCCCTGACCCTCGGGAATGAAATCCCATTCCTTCTCATTCCAATACTCATTCCCATTCCTGTCTGGACCAAACAGACTATGGGAAAAGACCATTCCGATTCCGATTCCAAACGGAATCTAAGATTTTTCCTTTTTATATTATTATATGTACATTGTTGTAGGTCTCTGTTGAGTGTACACTTATTATTGCAAGGGTAGTTCAGTTATTTTTCTAATCAAGGGTTTAAGTGTAATTGTGTGATTTTCATTATCATCATCTAAGCCTTTCCCCAACTATCCCCAATTATATGAGGTTGGCTTCATGCCTGGAATTGAAAATGATATATGTATCTTTGTTATGTAGCATGTTTGATGTGATTACTATTGTTATGTGAGCTATATTAAGCTTAAGTTTCATTTTTCACTTGGGTGTCTTCCACAGTGGAATAAAACAATGATGTTGTAGAGAATTCTCTAATTGTGTTATTTCCTTTATGCTTTCTCCTCCCATATTTGAATACCTTACACCTAATCTGTAATTTAGAGCCAAAACTCCTTTTGTCAATTTCTTGAGAAAGCTTGTCTCCAAACTCCATACGTCATGTGCTTGCAACTAGATATTCCCTTTTTTTTTTCTTTTATTTCTTTGGATAGATAAAGTGAAAATATTTATTAATGCAACTATTGCCACTACATTTTGGAAGCTCGACTTTTCTTTTCTTTAAAACAAATTAATCTTGTAGAAAATGAATCTCTAATAACATCTCAAGAAATTAGCAACAAAGCATTGATTTTTTCTCTGAACCAACTAAAGACATTGGAAGTCCAAAAATGTTTCATTACCTTTCTTTACAAGTAAGAGTCTCCGTAAGTATGGCTCTGTGGGATACTGAAATATAACTCCCAAGTTTGAATGAGTTTTAACTTCATTTTTTAATGGGTTTGTGAAACCTTAGTGAGGACTGAGGAGGGACAATAGGTAAGCATGGATCTCATGTTATTATAGTTTGGGATATTTTAGTTGCCAAACTCTATTTTGAAAATATCTATGGACACTATTACTTGTAAAGATGGATTATGCAACATTCTTTTATAAATTTTTGGGCATTCTTCTTCTTTTAGTGGATGAGAACAACAGGCAAGAAGCAGAACATATAGACTAGTTTTATTTGGGTTCTTGATATCAGTATGTTGGGGAATATGTTAAGGCCATTTCTTATATGTCTACAAAACCCAAGAGTTCTAAATTTGGATCTAAAATAATTTTAACAATTAAAGTTCATTATCCAAATTTTCTTATGCAGAAACTTAATCCATTTGTTCTAAATCATCTGAAAATTGTAGACTTGTTCTGTTTTTTTTTTTTTTTTTTTTTTTTTTTTTTCATGTATCAACCCTATCATAAATATTTAGGCTGTGTTTGGTTTGAAGGAGTGATAGATCTCATTCACTTCTACTTATAATGAAGAACACAATAAAATGGTTCTTCCACTTTTACTTATAATATTTTTATTATAAAAACAAACTTAAAGTTAAAGAGAATATGAGGCATAAGCCTCTTGTATAAAGTGCAATAGGGAGTATGCACCTCTAGGCAATTTTTTAGCGCCATGCCTCCAGGCATACATCTCCAATGCCTTTCAAAACACAGAAGCTCACTCAATATTTGCAATTATTGCTTATGGATGTTTTCTCATTCCTTTATTGGAAATTTCTGCTGCTGAATATTTTCTAATTCCTTTATTCACAATTCTTTCTTTTGGATATTTTCTCATTCCTGTAGAAGGATGTGATAGATGAGATGTTTTTAGCTTAGTGGTTATCTAAAGTAGGTCCATCAAGATATTGAAGATTATCCTTCCCTACAAACCAACATAAAGAAAAAGACATTTTTTTTCTATGTAGGGGTGGGCAATGCCACACATATTTATAACCTGTATGTTCTTTCTATGTTCCAGTGTTAGCTTATCCTAACCAGAGTTAAACCTTGGTTCCGGTTTCAGATGGAAATTTTATAAGTTATCCTAAACTTTGACCTTATTTACATTTTTGTTTCGGTTGTATCTTCTCCAATTTAGTTAATCCAGTTAAATCATTTGGTCCCCTACTTGGAGTTCCGTCTTTCCTTTTACAGTAAGCTTTCCTGCCTGGCATTACTGAATTATTCATTATCTCTCATAATTGCAGATGAAGAGCTAGAAACCATCAATTGTAGGTCAGGCCAATATTTCCTATACTAGACACTGCTCATCCAGCAAAAAACGAGTTCTTGATCTTCATTTTATGATCAAACATGAAAGCATCAAATTGTGAATTTGAAGCAGAGGCAGTGTCTGAAGATGAATCCGACATCAGCAGTCAAGTTGCTTCCAATATCTCCATCCATGGAGCTTCTCCAGAACCTTCCAAGGACACCACCATTTCCACCTGCCTCACAAATCTCATGAAGCTTGAACCTAATATGAGGCCCATTTCCCTCAATTTAAGCCTTAGCTTCAAAAATAGTGATAGTGATATGGGGGGCACAAAAGAGTCAGTGGGGCTCTCACTATCGAGCACCAGTGAGAGTAGCAGTGAAGTTGCTCCTCACACTCCATCGACCTCCTTCCCTAGAGTTTTCTCTTGCAACTATTGTCAACGCAAGTTCTTCAGCTCACAGGCTTTGGGTGGGCACCAGAATGCACACAAGAGGGAGAGGACACTAGCAAAGAGAGCCTTGCGGATGGGAATCTTCTCAGAGAGGTATGCCAGCCTGGCATCCCTTCCCCTACATGGGTCAGCATTCCGGTCCCTTGGGATCAAAGCTCACTCAATGCACCATGGCATTGCAGCACCAGAGAGGCCCCCTGAGATTAAAACTGGTGCCAGGTTTGAACACAGCTACTTTGGGCCACCGATGCTCTTGGAAGATGATGACGCAGAGCTGTTTTGGCCTGGGAGTTTTCAACAAGTGCCTGAGGGAATTGGTTCCCATCCAGGTTTTGAATTGGCAGGAAGCTCATCTTTTAATTTCGTAGCAGTGGCTCCAGCACCAGAAGCAGATTCATCCCCACCAGATCTTACACTGAGACTTTAAGAGGTTCCTTTCTTTTTACATACAATTATTGCAGCATTGTTCTCTCTGTACAGTGAGATGTGCATGAGCTATGTGTGCATGCTTTTTCTTCATCTCTGGATGATGTTTTATTATATGTTGTCATCACTGTATAAGAGTTCCTGAGGGGAAATTTCAGTGTCTGTGATTGTTATTATACTGATCAATGCTGTTTGTGTGGTGGAGATATGCAATCATCTTAATGCCCATAATGTGCTTTATCATCTTTTGTGTCTTAATTTCCTTCTGTTATTAAACTCGCTAGTTATATTCATTGCAACATTTTGATGATTGATTATAACCTTTTAGAGATGAAGCCAATATCTAGGCCTGAAAATGAAGGACCCTGATGTGGATGCAATGCAGGCTTGTGGCCTATTGGCTGCATTTGGATGTTAATATCACATGGGTTGCACTTTAAGGTGGGAGATGTTTTACTAAGTATTTAATCCTGTGCCACCAAACTCTTAATTGTACAGAAAAGCAATACCATGAGTGCATATCTCTAAAATCCTAGAGGAGATACAATCTGTAAGCCCATGTTGAAGGTTTTGGAGACCAAAGAACCAGTCTTTGGATAGTTTCACCACCCATGGGCAAGGCCATTTTGATACTGTCAGAAGATGAGCATGGCAGTATTAAGGAAAAATATCCTTTTTTATGTGGTCAGAAACTAATCAAGATGAGATTGTCCAGGAGATTTCTTACATTACCTTGCTGCTTGTACTGCTTATATCAAAAAGATCACTCAAAGTTTGTCTCACATAAATGGACAGCAGCATGTTCTGGTATAATCAGTTTAAGCAGGGCCTTTGAATAGGATTTTTCCACATCCTGTTTGGAATTTGCTCATTCGTTAGGAAGCAGGAGTTAGGTAGAACTGTGCTATCACACTTTGATATTTGGTAATAAAATCAATGTTGTATGATGTCCATGGATATTTTGATAACTGAACCACTCAGATAGCAATTAGATATGGATGGAACTTTATTCTGTTTTCACAAAGACATTTGTGAATTATCAAGAATCAACCTGGGGCTGGTACTAAGTAGTAACTTGTACCAGTACCCAGGACCAAATTAAAGTTTCTTTTCATTCAGATGAGTAGGGATTTGAATGAGATTTAGATTTAGATTTGTTACCTTGGTGTTAAGATTTTGTCAGAAGCCAAGTTATTGGTTGTGTTTGGTACCATTGTTGTTTGTACCTGAAACGTTTTTGGTTGGCCAATACAAACTGGCGAGAGACAGAGAGATACGCATTGTCACATCACAAATGACATTCGTTTCAGCTTGCTGTTTCTACCTGAAACGCCAATATTGGCATTTCCACAAACAACCTCTCACATATGCATTGTTAAGGAATGCCTGTTTCAACTATAAGCAGCCTCAAATAACAATCCTATTCCAATTTGTATAGATCAACTTAAAATGCTTTAGGTAGAAATAACAATAGTACCAAACACAACTTTTGTTGGAACCAACCATCACATAAAACATCTTTTGTGTTATTTTGGTCGGAAGTCTCATCAAGAAGCGTCAGCCCTTCTAAAATGGCTTAGTTGGAACTTTTAGTTCTTCACGGGCAGTAGGGCCCATAATGTTGCAAGCCTCTTGTTCATGGTCAAAAGAAGCGTCTCAAACTGGATTCAACCATGTCTGATTTAAAGTATTAGCAACTTTCTGATGACATTTGAGGTCAGGAGGCAGATTTTTCTGTTCTGGTTAACCAGTAGGTCAGCCCAATGCCTTTAAGAAAGAAGCAAAAAAAAAAAAAANCCATTTGTTCTAAATCATCTGAAAATTGTAGACTTTTTTTTTTTTTTTTTTTTTTTTTTTTTTTTTTTTCTGTGATTCTAGATCAGCCATATAGTTATAGAAAATAAATGACCAGTATTAGTGATAGATCTCATTCACTTCTACTTATAATGAAGAACACAATAAAATGGTTCTTCCACTTTTACTTATAATATTTTTATTATAAAAACAAACTTAAAGTTAAAGAGAATATGAGGCATAAGCCTCTTGTATAAAGTGCAATAGGGAGTATGCACCTCTAGGCAATTTTTTAGCGCCATGCCTCCAGGCATACATCTCCAATGCCTTTCAAAACACAGAAGCTCACTCAATATTTGCAATTATTGCTTATGGATGTTTTCTCATTCCTTTATTGGAAATTTCTGCTGCTGAATATTTTCTAATTCCTTTATTCACAATTCTTTCTTTTGGATATTTTCTCATTCCTGTAGAAGGATGTGATAGATGAGATGTTTTTAGCTTAGTGGTTATCTAAAGTAGGTCCATCAAGATATTGAAGATTATCCTTCCCTACAAACCAACATAAAGAAAAAGACATTTTTTTTCTATGTAGGGGTGGGCAATGCCACACATATTTATAACCTGTATGTTCTTTCTATGTTCCAGTGTTAGCTTATCCTAACCAGAGTTAAACCTTGGTTCCGGTTTCAGATGGAAATTTTATAAGTTATCCTAAACTTTGACCTTATTTACATTTTTGTTTCGGTTGTATCTTCTCCAATTTAGTTAATCCAGTTAAATCATTTGGTCCCCTACTTGGAGTTCCGTCTTTCCTTTTACAGTAAGCTTTCCTGCCTGGCATTACTGAATTATTCATTATCTCTCATAATTGCAGATGAAGAGCTAGAAACCATCAATTGTAGGTCAGGCCAATATTTCCTATACTAGACACTGCTCATCCAGCAAAAAACGAGTTCTTGATCTTCATTTTATGATCAAACATGAAAGCATCAAATTGTGAATTTGAAGCAGAGGCAGTGTCTGAAGATGAATCCGACATCAGCAGTCAAGTTGCTTCCAATATCTCCATCCATGGAGCTTCTCCAGAACCTTCCAAGGACACCACCATTTCCACCTGCCTCACAAATCTCATGAAGCTTGAACCTAATATGAGGCCCATTTCCCTCAATTTAAGCCTTAGCTTCAAAAATAGTGATAGTGATATGGGGGGCACAAAAGAGTCAGTGGGGCTCTCACTATCGAGCACCAGTGAGAGTAGCAGTGAAGTTGCTCCTCACACTCCATCGACCTCCTTCCCTAGAGTTTTCTCTTGCAACTATTGTCAACGCAAGTTCTTCAGCTCACAGGCTTTGGGTGGGCACCAGAATGCACACAAGAGGGAGAGGACACTAGCAAAGAGAGCCTTGCGGATGGGAATCTTCTCAGAGAGGTATGCCAGCCTGGCATCCCTTCCCCTACATGGGTCAGCATTCCGGTCCCTTGGGATCAAAGCTCACTCAATGCACCATGGCATTGCAGCACCAGAGAGGCCCCCTGAGATTAAAACTGGTGCCAGGTTTGAACACAGCTACTTTGGGCCACCGATGCTCTTGGAAGATGATGACGCAGAGCTGTTTTGGCCTGGGAGTTTTCAACAAGTGCCTGAGGGAATTGGTTCCCATCCAGGTTTTGAATTGGCAGGAAGCTCATCTTTTAATTTCGTAGCAGTGGCTCCAGCACCAGAAGCAGATTCATCCCCACCAGATCTTACACTGAGACTTTAAGAGGTTCCTTTCTTTTTACATACAATTATTGCAGCATTGTTCTCTCTGTACAGTGAGATGTGCATGAGCTATGTGTGCATGCTTTTTCTTCATCTCTGGATGATGTTTTATTATATGTTGTCATCACTGTATAAGAGTTCCTGAGGGGAAATTTCAGTGTCTGTGATTGTTATTATACTGATCAATGCTGTTTGTGTGGTGGAGATATGCAATCATCTTAATGCCCATAATGTGCTTTATCATCTTTTGTGTCTTAATTTCCTTCTGTTATTAAACTCGCTAGTTATATTCATTGCAACATTTTGATGATTGATTATAACCTTTTAGAGATGAAGCCAATATCTAGGCCTGAAAATGAAGGACCCTGATGTGGATGCAATGCAGGCTTGTGGCCTATTGGCTGCATTTGGATGTTAATATCACATGGGTTGCACTTTAAGGTGGGAGATGTTTTACTAAGTATTTAATCCTGTGCCACCAAACTCTTAATTGTACAGAAAAGCAATACCATGAGTGCATATCTCTAAAATCCTAGAGGAGATACAATCTGTAAGCCCATGTTGAAGGTTTTGGAGACCAAAGAACCAGTCTTTGGATAGTTTCACCACCCATGGGCAAGGCCATTTTGATACTGTCAGAAGATGAGCATGGCAGTATTAAGGAAAAATATCCTTTTTTATGTGGTCAGAAACTAATCAAGATGAGATTGTCCAGGAGATTTCTTACATTACCTTGCTGCTTGTACTGCTTATATCAAAAAGATCACTCAAAGTTTGTCTCACATAAATGGACAGCAGCATGTTCTGGTATAATCAGTTTAAGCAGGGCCTTTGAATAGGATTTTTCCACATCCTGTTTGGAATTTGCTCATTCGTTAGGAAGCAGGAGTTAGGTAGAACTGTGCTATCACACTTTGATATTTGGTAATAAAATCAATGTTGTATGATGTCCATGGATATTTTGATAACTGAACCACTCAGATAGCAATTAGATATGGATGGAACTTTATTCTGTTTTCACAAAGACATTTGTGAATTATCAAGAATCAACCTGGGGCTGGTACTAAGTAGTAACTTGTACCAGTACCCAGGACCAAATTAAAGTTTCTTTTCATTCAGATGAGTAGGGATTTGAATGAGATTTAGATTTAGATTTGTTACCTTGGTGTTAAGATTTTGTCAGAAGCCAAGTTATTGGTTGTGTTTGGTACCATTGTTGTTTGTACCTGAAACGTTTTTGGTTGGCCAATACAAACTGGCGAGAGACAGAGAGATACGCATTGTCACATCACAAATGACATTCGTTTCAGCTTGCTGTTTCTACCTGAAACGCCAATATTGGCATTTCCACAAACAACCTCTCACATATGCATTGTTAAGGAATGCCTGTTTCAACTATAAGCAGCCTCAAATAACAATCCTATTCCAATTTGTATAGATCAACTTAAAATGCTTTAGGTAGAAATAACAATAGTACCAAACACAACTTTTGTTGGAACCAACCATCACATAAAACATCTTTTGTGTTATTTTGGTCGGAAGTCTCATCAAGAAGCGTCAGCCCTTCTAAAATGGCTTAGTTGGAACTTTTAGTTCTTCACGGGCAGTAGGGCCCATAATGTTGCAAGCCTCTTGTTCATGGTCAAAAGAAGCGTCTCAAACTGGATTCAACCATGTCTGATTTAAAGTATTAGCAACTTTCTGATGACATTTGAGGTCAGGAGGCAGATTTTTCTGTTCTGGTTAACCAGTAGGTCAGCCCAATGCCTTTAAGAAAGAAGCAAAAAAAAAAAAAAATCCTTGACAACATATGAAATTCAAAACCTTCCCTAAAGCTCTTGATCCATACCCTCCCTAAAACCTGCAAGTGGCTGGGCTTTCAGAATTCAAACCCTCTCCACATATGAAAATGCAAGGCCTTTCCAACCCTACCCACTCCACATTTGAGGGTGGGACGGGCTGGGTCCATAACCTGGATCTAATTTCCTATGATATATAAGTAATAAACAAGCAAAATAACATGAACCAACAATTTTCAATTATTTGATTGAAACATGTAGATGATATATAAATTATCAATTATCCTTCAAATAAGATTCAAAGCTTTATTAAATTCAACACATAATATATAATATGCATTCTTCAGGATGTGTATTATGGGTTGTGTCGGGTTGGATTTAACCTAATACTGTACCCTATTCATACCTAGGTTGTAAAATCTCAAAACTGGTCTCGTATCCATTTTTTCAAACCAAAAAAACCACCCCATCAAGACAAGTAGGATAGAAATATTGACACGATATGCTTGGTATCGGGCGTATCGTATCGGTATCGATTGACAACAGTACGGGATATGCTACAAATAGAAATATATCCCGCATGTCGTTTGTATTGCACTAATATGAATGAGCATCGACCTGTATCATATTGTATCAGCCAGCACACACCAGTACGGGGTGATATGCGTGAAACGCCGCATCTCTCTATACTTCAATAAAAATGCACCTATGGCGACGATTCGAACTCAGGCCATTCGGATGCGTTTATCTTTCGCCACACTCTAAATCATCAAGCCAGACTTCATCTTGCGATGTTTAATAGAATAAAATAAATTTTATTAATTTTTTGTGTCGACATACAATTTAAATAAAAAACATGTGTTTATATTTAACAATTCTAATTATTCCATACAATAATATTCAAAATTAGTATTTTATAAATTAATAGAACAAATAGCATATCAAGCCCATATTTATATAAAAAGATGGTTTTTTAATATCAATAAAATTATACAGATAAAATATTAATAATAAAATAATTATTTTAATATTTAAATTGCACATGATATGCATCTTAAAATTTTTATATATTTTTACAAATTATTAATTAATACCTTAATTTACACTAATAAGTAATAACAACATATTTATTATATTTATAAAAAATAAAAATATTGTTTACAAAATATTGAAGAATATAATATTAAATTGAATCTATCAAATCCACTAATCTACATTTATTTCAAAAAATGATTTTTTATTACAGATTATTTAAAGAAATAAAAATATTAACAATGGAACAATTATTTTAGTAATTAAAAATTATGAAATTGTATAGGATATGTATCTTAGAAATTTTAACAAATTTGATATACTTTAAGTTAATATTATATTTTTGTGAATTATTATTTGGTATTTTAATTTTCATTTAAGAATTTAATATTTAGTTGATTTTTTGTTAATGTTAAAACATAAAATAGTAAAATAAATAAATAACTGATATAATAATTAAAATATAATATGCACATGTGTTTACTGTCTTGGACTCTTGATTGATGCATTATAAATAAAATTATATGATATCTAGGCATCCTGATATATTAATTGTAATATATTTTTTCATATGCACCATTAAAATATACATTTTTTATGTATTTATACACTATTTGTGATTATTTTGGTCTTAAATGTAGTGCTGTTAATGTATTTGTGGAATTTGTATGTATTTCCCTAACGTGTCTATCCGTTTTCATATTTTCCATTTGTATCCATGCATTTCCAAAGCATATCCGTATTTGTATCTATATCCGAATTCTATGATGGTTTGAATAAATAAATTTTATTTTTCTTGAAGAATCTGATTATTTAATCCAAAAACCTTCATTCATATTGACAACCCAATACAACCTTTATATCCTTTCATTGATAGGAATCAATAGATCAATCAATAGACTTAGAGCCTTTTTGGCGCGTCTTTCCGTGCTGTCTTTTGGCTGTTTACAAGCCGGGCATGCCAATTTTCGGTCTATTCTTGTTTGGTTCGTAGAAGATCTAGCCGCCAAAATCCAGCGTGCTGAAAAGATGCGAGAAGCCCATTTTGGGCTGATTTCAGGAAGCTCCAAATGAAATTTTTTGCGTCTTTCACATTTTATTCTTGCACGAAAATACATGGAAAGACATGTATCTACCAAACTAGCTTCGGACTGCTCAAAACTACCAGAAGATTTTCCCAAAAAAACTTGTCAAACGGGCCCTTATTCCTACTGATCCACCATCCAGCAATCTTTCTTTTCCATTAGGATGCTTCTTTTCCATATCCCTGATTATGCATCTTTTATTCTTGGGTTGTGTTTGGTTGAGACGTGTTGGTTAGGCGTTAGTGCTTTATACATTTTGTTGCTGTAAAGATGTGAAACCTCAAAAGTTCTGCTTTATCAGCTTTTAGTGTGCACCAGGAATCAAGATCCCTCTGCCCGAAATTCTGGATGAATCATTGCATCATTTGTTTCTGCATGAATTTGGCTTTACCAAACACGATTTGTTTCCCATTTTTTCAAGTTGGTGTAATGAATTGACCATGAAAAACATCCTTCCCAAAGACTTTCTTGGGTAAGCCCAACTTGAACTCAATTTGGCCATGCAAAAAGCTTAGGTTGGGCTGTATTTAGGGCTTGGGCCTAACTGATGAGATTTTGTCGGAGTTTGGGTTGTGGAAAAATGTTACCTTATTGGGTCAGTTACAGTCTTAGAGAATCTCGCAACACAACCCTACCTATTTTTGCCATCTTCAGGAATTTTGTGACCAATCTAGACCACCCATTAGGTATATATGTTCAATGTCAGAGTACACACCAACTCATCACCCCTTTAAGAGTATCAAAAGAAAGGTTAAGGTTAGGGATATGCTGTCAATGACCCGCAGTTGAGTTGGCTATTACATGGCATCCGTCCCACGTAGGATGTGCAGGATCAAACCAAATTCCTATATGCCATATTTTTTTATTGAATAAGATTCAGATTACCCCAATTCTAATTTGATTAGATCCATTTGCAGCCCTATTCAATATTTTAAAAACTTACTCGGAACTGGAATCGCTTTGGCCACTGGTTTCTAGGTCAGTGGTTCAATCATCCAGTTCAAATGGATGGCCCATTCCAATTGAAAAAAAAAATAATAATTAAAATAAAAATGGTCAAAACCGTTGTCTAAGTTGAATGGTCGATGGTTCGATCGCCCAGGTCAGTGGATTGCTGACTAAATCAATGATTTTTTACCAAGGAATGGGTTAAGGCTGAAATAGAACAGATTACCTGGATGGTTCCCAAGCCAAATGGTCTGACCATCCGGGTCAACGATGGTTCGAAAACACTAGCCCTATTTAACAATGTTAACCCTTAAAAAGTAATTAAGTGCATAGGAGAAACTTGGACTACTTGGGGGAAAACAGCCTAAGGCTGTTTGTG